TTGGTAATAATTAAAATCAGTGCGATTTGGGGCTGTCCAAATATAAAGCGATGTCAAAATTCATCATAAAGGATTTTAAAAATGGATGTAAATGATTCCTTTCTCCAATTATTTTAATTGCTGTCACGAGATTTGTTGTAATTAATATCACTTTAAATTTTTAATTAAATTTGAATATGATATATCAATTATAACAATTGATTAGGTATATATTAATATTTATACTTTTCTTATTTATTATACATTCATTCTACTTTTTGATAATGTAAAAATATTTTTCGCATAAAAATTGTTTAACTCGATGCGGAAAGCTTTCAATAGTTGAAATACATAAAAAATTACACCAAAATTACAATACCTTCAAAATTATTAAATATTTTAACATTAAAAAATGTTACAAAATATTACACGTTAAATATTTTAAGGACACGATATGATTTTTTATTATATATTCAAATTATAGAATTTCAGTTTTCAACTAAATCATAACCGTAGTAAATCCAATGAAAGATCACACGCACAATAAATGTAAAGCGGGTTTCGTAAACGATAAACGTATATGAAACGCATGTCTACGCCAAATCACAGTTAACTATTACTTATAATTTTATTAATTCTTCTCCAGTCAGAAAATTTATTCCAATTATTTCACTTAAATATATTTAAAAGTAAAACAACAAAAAATATTGCGAAATTAGAAAAAAGAAGTCGTTTATACTCATTTTCGGAGCTGTTTATGGTAGATACTGACACTATTTTCCTAACCAACATACGTTTTCTAAACGAACATTGCTCATTTGAGTTATTAGAATTGAATAGAATAACTTCCGATTGTTATATTTAAAAACTACTTAAGTTACATTTGGATAACTTTTTCATTCATACAAAATGGCCAATATACCGAAATAAACAACAGGTCAATATTTAATACTCGAATGAGTCACGTAGTATTAAACCTCGTACATTTCATCATACACAAAGTAAAAAGAGATTGTATAACCAAACAGCTATACATTACTCATGGCAAAACAAATAAGAAAATTTCTTTACTATCACAAACACGTACTAAACGATATATAAATATCTAGAAATTGAATTTCATGAGGAATACTAAATTCTAGATGCATTAAATCGTCAATTTGCATTCAGAACGTTGATGAAACGTTTTTTATTCATTCTAATCAACTCATAAGCATTAATTCGATGTGCTGCAAGTATTATTTTCTATTTCTATATTAATAAAGCGTGTTAGATCTTCTACATTTTAAAGTCCGCCATTTGATATGCGGAACTTAATACCTGACTAAATATGCATAATATTTTAAGAAGGGTGGAATACAACGCAGTGTAAGCTGTGGTGTAATTTAAACTGCACGTTACATACGACGATCCTGAATAACTCCCGAAGTATATAAAGAAACAGGAAGCACGTGGAACGATCGTCAAGGATGAGCTTGACAGGGTCCAAGAATTTGGCGGGCACATAAGGACGTTCAGTTAACAGAAGACCCGGAATCATGTCGACACGTGTGCACGATGCATAACTAGGGGGAGGAGGGACAAGCTTAATCTATCCTAAAAAGAAAGAAAATTAACCAGAGTAAAGTTTCGCGTGTGTAACCGTAGCTTCGATCCGTAGCTGCGGTTTCCACGTCTCTTTTTTCGGATCGTTTCAGAAGAGGAACCTTGAGCAACGAGAGAGGCCGAACCCGAACCGTGATTTATTGTCCTTGGTTAGAGATAATAAGGCACGATCGGCTGGGAAGATTCTTTCGAAACGAAGGATCTTCGTGCACGGTCGCACGGATCTATTTTTTTTCACCCCCACTAAAGATCGCTTACATATTTGATGATATTCAGAAAAAAGAAATGTGACGGAGCAAGCTACCTGCCATAGTACCAACTCTGTCACGAATAACTAGCGAATATTCAAAGGAAAAATGAACCGCTTCCCTCCGATCGACGCGCATGATATGATATTAGGTCAGATCTGAAGTTTGCATTGTTACAAAAGATTATTTAGCTTAAATTCGATTTCACGTTGAACTGAAAGTCACAATAATTACCATTATGACATTATGCCCTTCCCTAACTGTAGTCCTAAAATACCTATCAAATAGGATACTAAAATAGGAAATTTTTAATAAGAAACTTAAAACGAAAATATTACAGAATATAAATGTACTTGTTCTACATTTTTTAAAAGATGGAACTAAAATCCAATTTATTAACTTTTACATTATGAGTTTGCAAATAATACCACAATTGATTAGAAGAGGACAATTACTTACGATTGAAATGATAAAAACTAAGGTAAGTAGAATAGGGAGTAGGGCAGGCTCATCTAGGGAATAAGACGTTATAGAAGAAAACCCACCATTTATTGGTTTTGATGCAAGAATTTTCAAATTTATAAAATTTAAGTTTATAGAATCAAAATATTTGTAAATGTTTAAATTTAGAAATGAAGAATTGTAATTTTCAGAATGTAAAATTTTGCAAACCTGAAAATTTGGAAAATCTGGACACTTAAGAGTATGGAATTTAGTAACTGGTAATTGGGAAATTTTGAAATATGAGAAATTTGAAAGTTTGGGATTTAGAAAGTTAGGGATTTGAGAATTTAGAAATTTCGAGATTTTATAATTCAGAAATTTAGAAACATGAGAATTAAACAAATTAAGAATTTAATTAAGAATTTGTTTTATGAATTTGAGTATTAAAGTGTCTGGAAATTTGAAAATATCAAGAGTTAAAAAATTTGAGATTTAGAAGTTTGAGAGTGAAAAACATTCGCAAATTTAAAATCTTAGAGATTCAGAAGTTTAGGCTTGTGAAAATTCAGAAATATGGCTTTTTGGAAACTCAAACTTTGCAAATTTGTGAATTTGAAGATTTTCAAATTTACGTATTTAATACTCCAAAATTACAAATACCCTTATAGTCATTCTTAATCAGAGGAAATCTATGTTACAACTAAGTGAATACACAGCGAACAAAAATAAAAATTCTTTTACGAAATTCGAACCTTCAAACTTTCTAGATTTTGTTAATGATTTCAAAATAGTTAAAATGACAGCGTAATTTACCCTCTCTTCGACATTTCTGTCCAGACTATAAGTGTTATTTGGTTATAATAATTTCGTAGTGCTAGATAACCAAAATATTATACTGTGGCGGTATCGAAAATTTTATTTCTGGTGATTGCACCGATACTCTATATTTACCAGCAATAAAAACTACATATAGTGATCGCAATAAAAGAAACGAGATAATCTTTTCGTGGTTGCCTTCCAATCGACGATAATGTTGAAACGTTCGAATCGGGCAATCACAAACTGTAACAGACATTTTTATCGTAAATAGCATTAAACAAATTTTTACTTTTTGTTCAAATATATAATACGCAATAAATATTTTTAAACACGAATCTGAAAACCGTTTTTTGTCTGCATTTCTAATATTTAAACTAATGGAGCTTTTGTAATTTCGAAAATATTTTGCGTTTAAGAGTTCATATTTACTAGATTACTTTTTACATCACATAATTTTTGAGTGAAGTGATGTACGTTGCCAATGTATTATGAACATTTAAAGTAAAAGAAAATATAAATTTCTATAAATTTCTACATTTTATTTTGAATTAAATTATTAAATAATCATTAAAAGCTACTAATGTACAGTGAAATCTAATTCAAGATTTAATTACAATTTAATTTAACTGGAAATGATTAAACTATAGTAAAAAATGTTTAATAAAGAAAAGATCACTTGCTTTGACTATTATTATTTTAATAATTAGTTATTAAAGACTAACATGTTTGAAAAAAATTTCAACGTAGGGGTCGAAATATTAATATTATGCATGTGTAATTTCTAATTTGTTTGGACAGAGATAAAATTTCAAATAAAATTCAATTCATAATTTCATTTTGGTTGAGATTTTTAGTATCGATACGCCGTATATTCATTCTACCCCTAAAAAAGGAATCTGTCCTCGGATTACGAAAAGCTTTTCAAAATGATGGAAATAAGATTTTTACGTATGAAGACAAAGCGGCACAATATCGTACGAAAGAGAATTCGAAACATCTGTTTCGAAGGTCTGTGTGTAACTCTACGATCAACGTCCGTACGACCGGAAGCACTGCCATAACTGCCTTCCGCTTGGTGCCCCCTTTCCCCGCCCGATACCCATCAGAAGTCACGTCGATAATTATTGAACCATTGATGAACTTAATCTTTGCGCCTGATCGATGGTGCACTGCAATACTTTCAAATTCCGGAAAGAAACAAAAACATATCTCAAATGAAACTACATTTCTTTTAATGAAATAGTAGACTATCTTGAAACATAATCTTTCTATTAAAAACAACTACCAGAAGTATATTTTTATATGACATTGCAAAGGAAAAAAATAAATTGAATCCTTTGCACACGAATGAACTTTTGCTATTGACAAATTGGTAGATATAGACTCTAAAACTATTTACTTGAGAAGTTTAAATTTTGTTAAAGTTATCATTTTTCTATTATTAATTACCACTATTGTCTGTTTCACTATAATTACATAATACGTCAAATGTATAACACTATACATTTAGTTAAATACATATTTTACATTATTATAATAAACCAAATGGTGAGTGTGAGTCACATTTCGAGGGCAAAGTAATAACCTAATTTCTAGTTTCATGGTTATACTGTCAGAAATACGAATTAACACAACTTCACTGAACAGAACAAATTTTAATGGTAAAATAACTTGAATTATTTATACAGAGTTTAAAGAAGCTTCTTTAATTTCTAATCTTCTAATTTATAATTTCCTTGTACAAAATAAGAAATTCTAAAAATACGATCTATCAAGTTAGCACTAGAAATATCATCGTTATATAACGCTTCAAGAAAAAAAAGAACACTTAACCTTGAAAGAAAGAATAACCGGATGAGAAATGTAAAAGAAAATTAAAGTAGTGCCATTGAAAAAGGTACTCACATAATCATCACGAAAAAGCTGCGCGTGCATCAGGGCTGTTCTTGCCTGAACAACGACTTGGGACAGGAGCTGCGAATCTGTCAGCTGCACCACATCCAAATCACCGGTAAAATCTTCGGCAGCGAGGCCACAAGGATTCACCCACTTCGGGGGCAAGCTTAATCGTCTGTCCTCGAGGGTCATCGTCGGAGCACCGTGCACTGACACCACGAGCAGAGTCACCAAAAGACTACCTAACCCTGAAAATTAAACCGATTACATGAACAATTAACGAATTTGTCAATTCGTTGACAGCGAGGATTTCACGTAATTCAAATTTTCATTCCAAAAGGAAGGAAACATTTCATTAATTCAATTTGAAAAAATTACAAGCCTATGGATATGGAATAATTCGTTGATCATTGATAATATTACAAATTTTCTATACTTTGTTTCAAAACCATCTAAATTCTGTTGTAAAAGCATATATTAATTTACCATAGGTATGGTATAAGATTATTGTTGTAAAAATTCAAATGATGCTTATTGTGGTTGAACATTTCTTATTGTTGAATGGTAATAATTCTATGGGAAATATTGTGAAAACAAATTCAGTCACCGACATTCAGTCGACCAAGAATTTTTTATTAAAAATGAAAGTGAAATCGAAATGTGAGTATTGTAATAAATTTACAGGCAGTTCTTATTTTCAATTCACGATTAACCGCTGCGATATGGTATTAGCAGAATTGTCGGCACATTAACGAAATAGATAAGAAGCGATATATTGGATCGATAGCAATCAACGATTTAACACAAGAGTGTTGGGGAGGATGCCGTTGAGAGAAATTATTCTGGAGCTTCCGTCTCGATGTTTCTACCTTCCCGCTGCACTTTCCCTCATCCTTGGCTCGGATGCACTCATCGTCGATAGTAAGAACCTAAATGGTAGATTCCGATCGAGGCCGTCTTATGATCATCCGGCAGTTTCGGGATCACTGCTCGTCGAATTACATCCACGTGAATTCGTCGTCGCATTATTTCACGAGTTACGACCCTTGATGAGGGGCCTGGAATCACGTGAACCGATACGACGACAAACCATCAGCAGTCGCATACGCATTCGGATGATGTATAACAACCGCGGCCAACCGCGTACACGAGAGTTCCCTTTTCTCCGTTTAAATACCCTCATCCCTTCCTTTAGGATGTTGACGACCGTGTTCGATATTCCGACGAACACCTTGAGCTTGTTTTTTAATGCAAAGGGTTGAATCGAAGATTCGTTCGAATCACATTGCTTCGCCTCGAAATATTCATAGCTGATCATGATCGACGAAACGAGTGGTGCCTTGAACATGCGATCGAATTCTGGGTTATAACGCTTATAAGCACGATTTATCTCTTTCCGCATTATTTCGGTACCGAATAGAATGTAGATGCAGCATTTAGGCCGATCCAGACACGATTCGAGAAGTAAATCGTTACGTCAGTGGATCTAACGGTCGCATCAAGGACCAGAAAATGTAGGTATCTTGTGCGATCACAAGGGCGCTTACAAATTTAGTTTCAATGTGCAGCTACGCGTGATGCAACGTAGACGGCGGTCGCGTTCCCGAGTCGCAAAGAGAAGAACAAGTTGGCAAAGAAAGAGAAGGAGAGAGAGATACAACGAAAAGGAGAGAGCAAGGGGGGAAGACAGGGAGACATCGCGGACATTTAACGCATTTTAATGAGCGGCTCTTAAGTGCGTTTCGCATCTTGACGAGAGAGTAATTTGCCGCATGGAAGTTTGCGCCCCTTGAAAATTGTGTCTCGACATGCATTATCTACCTCAATACTGAGCAATTCAATGCTCCTTAAGCAATATTATGATCCCCCGTGGTGGACCAAGATAATAAAATGCGAAAAACAACAGTTGACCTAATGATTTACGCAGACATCATAGGATACTAAGAAGCCTATTCATTGTCTTGTATTTTTATGTTGGTTATTTCTCGAATTTCGCGGATGAGTTCATCTTCGGTATTCGTTGGACAGAAATGTACAGCGATAAATTAAAAGGCACGAGTCTCAGCTTTAATCGAACAGATTATATTGGAATTCGGCCGAGAATATAGATAGGTCACACTGCGGCAAGTTTTAACAGAGATCACGTGAATTTGCTCGCACGCACTTGCATTGCCACGTGAGCCTGAAGATAAGCACGCTGGCATGTTCTTCGATTAAATTTTGCTGCTTCGTTAGAACAAACAACAACTGAAACGTTTTCGTGCTTGCAACCGGTTTCTGTTTTGAGAAATGGGAACAAAACTGACAATTCAGAGGAACGACGATTAAAACGGAAAATGTGCAAGTAAGATCGGATTTTCCGTTAACACGACGCAAAAGAAGTTTGCACGGTTGGAAACAACTGGCTATTCAACAATGCGGCAAGCACCTTTATCGTACTAGAGATTGCCACGGATCCCAGGTAAATGATCTTAACATGTACGATTATATTTCCTTTCTTGTCACTCGTGTACGCATCGTGTACTTTCTCTTGTTTCTCTAATTGCGCCACATTTTTCCGCCGTTGAAAGTTAATTACTGTACCGATGTGTCCATCACCAAATTTGTCTCAGATGAGAATTGCGATGATGGGTGCCTCCTTCAAGTATATTCGCATTCTTAAGCCGTAAGAAAACGAAAAAGCCACCGATAGTTGGTAATTTTACTGTCTAGAACGCATTATCAAATTTACCTCAATTCGGAACATCTAGATTACTTCCAAATTTAATCCTTTCCTTTTCTGTTCAATATCTCAAGCGGCCGTCGAAAAATAAACCTGGATGTACTTCATTTCATTATATAATAGAACTAAATCAGTTCACAATCAATGAAGGCCGAAGTAACCGAATGACGTTTTCCGCGCAATGACAGGCGATTAACTGCGGTTTTTGGTAGGTAGTCGTCTAACTGTCGACACTTGCGTCTCCTGTAGGTACTTTCGCCCCTGGATGGTGTTGACGGTACAGTCTAGGACCTACCTCAACGGCGATGGCTCGACTACGGCGTTCCAACGAAATTCCAGAGAACCCGCGACCGCTTGGAAAAAAGTTAAGACGCGCTAAGCCGGTGCAAGGAGCATCTCTGCTAGCCAGCAAGAAGATGCTGAAAAATGCGGTAATGACGCACTGTCCTCGCATTACTCGCGACAATTATACCCCATTACGCCCGTCCCGCCACCCCCTTATCATCCAGATCATGCCCATGCCCGGATCCGAGTGCATTGCGGTAGGTCGCGGTACGCATCGAGCGTGTACTGTTTATTCTAACCTGTTTTCCATCTATTCTTTGCATCATCATCTACAAAATGCATCTCCAGGTGCAATCGTTTTGACTCATCCTGATGTTTACGAACGGATTACGGGAGCAAACGTGACGCATGAAAATTTAACGAGGAACGTTCAACAGGTAGGTGCGTTGGACAGGCACGTCTCAACGCTGGCTTGAATCGATGTCCCGTTTTTCGCTGATTTCGCAGCAAATTCACTCAGCGATTATCGCGTTGTTTTTCAATTTGAAATTCAATGCTTGAGAAGAGACGCAAAGAACTTAACGCTGCATGCGAACGGATCACTTTCGAAACGAACGAAGAAGAATCGATAACAACGACCGTTACAAGGAGGATGACTAATACGTTCATCGACTTGTTCAAAAGTGACGTCAAACACCGAGAGAGAATGCCACCAGGGACAATAGACGAAAAAAAGAAACATTGTATGATCACGTTTGCCGAGCTGCTAACTACGTTTGAGTTTCAGCAAAATTCGTGGATTATCTTTAAATTTCGTAGTGTTCCAGTTAGAAATAAAACTTTGTGATGCGTTATGATAGGACAATTCTTGTTCAGCAACGCTCAACTCGGATGCAACAGGTGACACGGGGTGAATGAATCATACAGACTGTAACAATGAAATTTCGACTTGACTCTGACGATAAGAAGTTGAGAAGTTGGCATAGAAGAAAACAGAATCGAGGAAAGATGCTGAACGGTCATTACGTAAGAAAGCATTGGTTTTACGTGAGTCAGCGTCAGATGTATACATGCGTATTGCACATCGAACAGAGATGCGTAAAGCGATAATGAATGACACCTATATAACGAAGCACGTTTTTCCATTAACTGTAACTTGTTCTACCATAATTTTAGCCGAGTAGAAGTGTATAAATCTGATTCGGATAATAATACAAAGAAAGGTTTTACAAACATACCAAAGCGTTTAACAGTTGCAGCTGGGCGAAAAATAAATTTTCTACGCTGCCAACAACTATTTCATCAAAATAATGTAATCTAAAACGTAACGAGATATATTCTACAGCAGTTATAAGTCATTCGAAATTCTTCACAAACAGATAATAACTAAGAAAAATTATTGCGTTAGAATTTTATCAAATTTTGCTTTCTTAGCGAAAACAAGATTGAGATTAATGTCAACTATTTGCCTTAAATAGTGTGTTTAAATAAAAGAAAATTAAGCTGTACAGTAATAAAACGCAAGAAAATATGATAGTTTTTCCAGACAATAATTGGTATTTGATCATTAACGTGTTCTTTTTATAGTTCTCGTAGACTTACTGAGCCACGTGGTCGTGGTGACAGATGGGTTGTGTCTCGACCGCATCCCTCGATCGTCGTAGAAGGCAGGTACTAGATACGATTCACATGATAAGTGTCTTTGATCACGATAGTTCGTTTGTATTCTTGAGCTTAATCTCGCGTGTCGAGTATTTGTCTCGAAGCTTTTGCACCATTTCTTTGACGTTGTCAAACTAGTGGACGTCACGGTCTTCGTTAAACCACCCTGAGAAATCCAATGATCAAGAACTCTATGTGAAGTTGTCCTTTGATCGCGGGATAAAATCGCCTCCATTGTCAATTGTCGATCGGGATTGACCGCTATATCCTCGACAACTGTCATAATCGCATAGCACTTGATCACTCTTGTCGCACGCGGCACTCGCGATGGCGCGTGGCAGCTAAGGAGCAAGCGAGACGTATCCTATTCTCGCGTGTTCCCGTACCGATGTATCGCGCCGGTACTTTTACGGTCGAAGCGGGCCACTGATACCCTGTGTTCTCGTTTATCGATAAAAGCACTACACCGAATGACGTTTGTACATAGGATATAGTGGAAGACACGGCGGGCCCAGTATGTTCGTAAGGGCCTAGGCAATTACTACGTGAGAAATTGTCCGCACAGAATCACAATCCGTTTGGCACTGGTCCTGACACACGCGATGCACTGATTCTTATACAAGGGGAGAGAAAGGGGTTACACGAATGTTGTCTCAGAGAGTGGAGAAGAGAGGGGGCGGTAGATGTTTAAGAATGTGGCGGAGAGGTACGTATGGAAAGGAAAACAGAATCAGTTTAGTTACGCCCTTAAGGGTGGTCCATGTATAATGCTTTCTTTTTTCTTAAAGTTCTTTTCTCTTTAACTTTTCTCTGTTGTGTCTCTGTTTGTCCCGTGATATATCCCTTTCACCGGCAACTTCTCGGACCCTTTTTGGTTCTCTCAGCCCTTGTGTTGGCGGCACCTTCTCAGTCGTACGCCAGTGGGGTAAGGTCGTACCATACCGAATGTCAGGAGGTGACTGAGGTATTCGTTGCCCTCGTCCGGCTGAGTGTATCGAGTGTATCACCTCTCGGCTCTGTCCGAGTTAACCATGGCGCAGAGGAAGGTAGGTAGGTAGGTAGGTAGGTATAGAAACAGAGAAGGAGAAGCCAGCTATAGGCAGGCTTGTTCGTTCGTCGTTATAGTAGGAGTGAACCTACGTAAGGGAATGGAAGTGGAAGGTGGACTTCTGTCCGTCTACCTTGCTTGTCGGTAGGTCGTTTCTCTTGCCCCGTTCCCTCTCTATCTATTGTGTATTCTCTTTACCGTTCTTCTTCTTTCCTCTCTTCCTTTCTTTTCCACAGTCTCCTTCTTCTTCCTTCTTCGACGAGCGTTCCTTTTCCTCTTTTATCTCGTGCGCGACCGTATGACTATCACAGCGTATGGTAGTGGCCACTCGGTCGACCGGTGCCTATATACGATTGTAAAGGCATCGAAGCACGTGGCCCACACCCCGCTTTCGTATCCTAAGTACCCCCACTATCGCCACCCTTCCTTGATCACCCGGCGGGCTGGCTTTCTCGCTCTTTCTCAATCTTTCCTTCCTCTCGTTACAATCCTTGCTTCTCTTCTGCTATTCTTCTCTTTCTTCTCTTCCGCCTCCGCCGCTCCGCCACCTCCTGCCGCTGAACGACACCCCCCTCTTCTCTCTCACTTCACGCTTGTTCCCCTCCACGCGACATTCGTGGGTCAGGACTCCACGACTCATTCATAACTCCCCGTGAGGGACCACTTACCCCCACTCAAACACCTTACATCGGCCTATCCCCACCCATGCGCTTGTAGTAGATGCCGGGCATCTAAACGAAGCGATCTGAAAGACGTCTTTGTAGAAGCTCGATGTTACACCGGCACGTTCCGCCAACCTTTTACTCTCGCAGGTGCACTGTGATACCATCTGTCACAGACATCATCGAAAATTAATTTTATCTCCAGATTACGGATGATATTGTGTCCACGTCACTTTCTTCAACTTCCTGGTCAACGATATTTCACACTTTGTTCGTAAGATTGAAGCAATTTTGTCAAGGATTTAAAAGACCGTAGCTATTCGTACTGTACTTTTATCGTGTATGATTTCCTGAAAAGTTGGAACCGTCCGTTCGCAGACATCTCTAGTTATACTATTCTTCAGACTGTTAAATTCGGAGATTTCAATTCGGTGTTTGTGTCGTTAATGTTATTTATTTAAAAAATTGCTCACAGTTTCAAGGTTCTATCAATGAATTTACATTCCATACTTTATCTTGATTGAATTGTTTGATGGTATGCCGACTAGAGAAGGCCTTAGTCCTCGCTGCTGCACTAACGTTCCGTTGTTGGCACGCGAGCTGTTTTTCCGCGCTCACAACGAAAGACGCATCGTTAGCCGGTTCGTTTGCTCCCGTGAGAATCAACAGTGTATTAATGTATTTTTATAAATGAATTGCAGCCTAGAGCGAGCCAGTGTAGGTAAGCAGCGTATGCGTCATTAGAGTTGTCGCACGCGTGATTCTATTAATGATCGTTGTCGACAAAGGCGCGAGAGTATTCGTAAATCCGAGACGCGTCGTTGAAGAAAAAAGAATTTTGTGTACAACATTTGCGAAAAGGTGTTGATCTCTCGAATGTGCAATTAATGAGTCGTCTTTCGTATCTTTCGTCGACGTCAAAACAATATGTGTGTAAGTTACACACAGACGTTACTGTCGTATACATAACAACGTTAATAATAGAGAAGATGACGATAATAGTAATAATTGTGAAGTCTTGTTGATCGCGCAACAGGCGACTATTAATTGCAGATGAGATTAAGATGATAAACGAATGCTTAATGAAAGATGACAATAGTTATGAGCGATTTATGTTGATACTTTTCTCGAAGTATTCTCTTTTTCTATCCAAGTAATTTATTTATATAATAATTTTGATTATTCCACCTTGTCATTAGATTTTTAAATACAGAATCATTTTGCTCATTTCGTATTTTACAGATAATTCTGTCCCTTTACATATTACGGTTTCTTTGTATATGAGCTATATTTTGAAAAAGTTTTATTGGCATTTTTCCGTGTTGAAAGAATGAAAATAATTCTTTGAAAATGAAATAGAAATGTACGATTTAAACATTTTGTGATACTATAGTCAACTGTGTAATTAGATTTCTGGCATATTGTTTGTTTTAAAAATATGTTAATGTAGGAGTTACATACAAAATTTATTTAAAATTTTTCTAATTGCCATGAGTATTTGTATGCTTCAATTAAATTAAATTATTCAAGACAAACTACAATTGAAAAATGACTAAATTCAGAGAATATAAAGTTTCATTGTCAATAACATCAATAAATAATTAATATCTTCTCGATTCTGATGTGATATCAAAATTGCATAAATATGGATATGTTTCTCAATAGATTAATCCTCCATATAAATAAAATGGCACTCACTACAATAAATAATAGTTCTATATAAAAAATCTAGATACAGATAAAGTGGCTAAAATATTAAAATACTTTATTTCACAAGAGATTGTACACATTTATTGATTGAGCAGGAAATGATTGGCTTTAGTTCTCTGTCTTTCCTTCTCAGCTTCGAATGAATGACTTTTCCCTGCTCTGATTCCCCCTACGTATTTGGCTGCTTAGAGTGAAATCTTCGTTAGCTTGAAGGAAGTTGAAAATACTTCGTTAATTGAAAGGAAATGACAGTACTTCCATGAATGAACGGACGATACTTCTCTGATGCGCTTTTTCTCGGAATGTTCCTAGCACCGCCAAGATGTTATTCTCTCATTAGCAGGAAATCAATTCGAGTTAATTGAATTTTTTCGCGCGACAGTGCACAAGATCGATACCATGCTACATGTCCACGTATTTATATCATATATTTTTACCTGTATAATTACAAAGTAGCTAACACTAGGTAAAAAATGATTATATCTACATTTCTAGTTCTAAAATGATTAGATATTAAAGTAACCGAAAATATAAATAAAAAACCAGTTTGCATATGCTAATGTTGTTATGTAACGTAGTGACCCTTACATTCCGTTTGTGTGCTGAATATGACTAGGTCAACGAGTAATCGTAACTTTTACAAAATTTACCTTTATCTATCTTGTCGCATCATATGACGTCCAAGACAAACTGTGACATGCCTGATGTAACAAACATTACACTCACCCTATCACAATTGATATTTAATATTTTATAGACTGGTGGGTGCAGTCTGCATCAAAACTGAGCATTGTTCTTATTAAAATGAAAATCATCTAAAATATCAGTTCACGTGTTAGATTTTTTTAATATCACTCTATATGACTAAGCGATTTCTATTACAACGACCTTGGAAATTGAGTTATGATGGAACTAATACCGTTTGATAATCGAACGATGTCACGATTGAAACCCATGACGTCGTATAGAGATAAAAAGTGGGTGACTGATATTTCCGTTAAAATGGGATCGATCTTGAAAGTAGATGTTAAAAGTTTCGAAATAGAATCGACCCATCTGTTCCGTGCCTTTCTTCTACTTTCGCTGCTATTGGTTTTACGGTACAAACTGGTTAACAGAATGACGTAGCAATTTTCGCAATGATTACGCCTGTCCTGCCAATACTTGCGAAAGAATTTCACGCCTATGAAAGCACGCGTTCGCACCAGCCTACGTCACGTTTTATTTCGGGGTCAAGTGCAGCAGAAACGTCCAAGAAATTGCGTGGAACGTAACGTTATATACGTTCGTAACGTTATAAACGAACGTAGGAATGTTATATAATGACAGAAATAAGAATCTCGTATGACGTTATAACTTTACAACACGAATGTGTCGATCCGTGAGACGGTACTAATACGAACTTGATTCATTATTACCAGAATATGTACAAAAATTGTATAGTAATTATTTTATTCTGCACTATTGCATTGGGCAAGGACAAATCTCCAAGCCTTTTCTTTTTTAGATTTAAATGAACTTTAGTGCATTAATGAATTCCCATGACCGACTGCATTACTTCATATATCGAAAACTTCATATATCGAATTTTTTTACTAATTACTACAATTCCTATGTTTCAATAATTGTAATAATCAAAGACGTTATCGAAATTATTTACTGAGAATTGTGGATCGTATTTAGTTCATGCACACTGGCAAATACCGAAGACTTTCTTAGAAAACGGTGGTATAGGACTACAAAGAAAATTAAAGCTCTTTAAATTCTGAAATTTTTGAATTTGGAACTTTACAAATTTGTAAATTTAAAAGATCTGAGAATTTACAAATTTTTGAAATTAAAAAGTTGAAGACTTCGGAAATTTGAAAATACAAGAAATTGGGGATTTGAAAATTTGAAAGTTTGGAATTTTAGTAAATTGAACAATTGAGTTTTGGAAATTTGGCAATTTGGACATTATATATAAAAATTGTTAAGTTACAAGTTCGATCTTCCAAAATCGGGTAGTATCTGATAGAGATCCTACAGTCAAGTCAAGCGTATATTATACATGAATGCACTATTATACATGACTGCAGGAACAACTGCAGTTATTTGTTATTGAGATTGAATTTAATTCAATATTAATTAGATATTAACACTTGGTTTATACACAAATTTATTTTAATTAAGAATTTTATTGTAATTCTGCTAAATAAATTTGAAAGATTGGAGAAGTAAAAATCACAAAGATTGATAAGAATTTTATTTGAATTAAAAATTAAATAAGAAATTTAATTTAACTTTTAGTTTGAAAAAACTGTGTTTAAGAATTAATATTAATTTTTATTTGTAGGAGATTCAGTTAAAAAGTAAATTTTAATTTTTGGTTGAACGGCATTAAACAAAAATAAAAATTTTGATTCTTAATTAGAAATTTCCGTTAGTGACTGAATGTTATCCGATAATTAAAAAGATGTCAATTAAAATTATACATTAACCTTTGATTTAAGATGTTTGTAATTAAGGGATATCAAATATCAGTTATAACATAATCTCATGATTTATAGTATCGTAATAAAAAATTTTTGAACTCCCCGTCATGGCTATGTTTTTGAAAATAAGCCACCAACAGTTTCAAAAAACATAAAATTGCTATTTAATTACATTTACAGGTATTCATTACGGTATAGAAGACATTATTTGACCGACAACAGAAGAACGGCCATTATCTTATAATGTTGAATCGGATTAAAAATTTGAATGTCACAAACCTCGTTTGTGTTAATTACACTGAATAAATAAAGCAAGTATTCGACAGCTGATACGTTGACCAAAGCGATTAACTTTAATACCCTGTTATTGTGCCTTTTGTA